TAAAGTTTAAGATTCCCCCTGACAAGTTTTGTCCAGTCGTGTCCGACTCTAGGGGGCGGTGCTCATCCCCGTTTACAAGCCAAAGAGCCAGCATTTGTCCGAAGACAATCTTCCGTGGTCACATGGCCAGTGAGACTTAGACATGGAATGCTGTTACCTTCCCATCGAGGTGGTCCCTATTAATCTATTCGCATTTGCATGCTTTTGAACCGCTAGGTTGGCGGGAGCTGGAACAAGCGACGGGAGCTCACTCCGTCATCTGGATTCAATCTTTCAGCTGAAGATCTACAGACCTTACAGTACAGAGGCTTCTGCAGTTTAACCCGCAGTGCCACCACGTCCCTTCAGTTTAACTTCATTAAAAGACAATAATTATAACTCTGGCACCTTACATGATTAATAGGCAATATTAAGGGAAATATTATTTTCAAAAAAAATTGCTCTGAGAAATGGAAAAGACAAAAATGGAAAACACTCGTAGTCCTAACAATCCAGTCAAACCAGAAATTCATAACAATCAATATAAAAATCACCCACAGGTAGCTGGTTATTGAGAGAAGAGTTTTGGTCTTCAAAGATGGAAGGATAGCCAAGAGGAGACCAGCTTGGCCTCCAGTGGGAGGGAGTTCCAAAGTCTCGGAGAAGCAACACCCAAACAGACCTGTAAAGGTGGTGGGATGAGGAGAAAAGCCTCCCCTGATGATCTTAACTCCCAAGGAGGCTCACCATGGGAGACATGGGCTTTGAGATAGCTGGGACCCCAGCCAATTAGGGCTTTATACTGGTTAAAACCAGAACTTTAAATTGAACCCAGTAGTAACTGATCAGCAGCCAGTGGAGCTGCTGTAACAGGGGAGTTATGTGATCCCGATAACCAGCCCGAGTCACCAATCTGGCTGCTGCCCATGTGTGTACACTTCTTTTAACCTGGAAATGTTTTTCATATCGTGAAAGGTTTAATTGCAGTTTGCTGTGCATGTTGTGGTTCATTGTGATTTGGAATACATTTACGCTTTGGCAGCCTGTGGACACTGTGTGAGGATGAGAGCAACCCTAAGGATACTCTCCAGGGTTTACCATCCGTCTCCCATATCAGAAAGACGGAAGAGGAGGCAGAAACCATTGAAAAAGTGTTTAGACAACAGTGGGTGGTGGAACACCAAAGAGTGAGCCCGGGGTGGCTGGATGTTTGCAACTCATGCCATTTTTCATTTTCTTTTAAAGAATGGGGTGCCTGCACTGTCCTGTTAACTTCATCTCTAAGAGAGCTGCCTTGACAAGCTGCCAACAGGGCTGTTTAACCAACTTCCTCCATTCTCCATGAGTGGCTGGCTAACACAAACCGACCCCCAAGAAATCTGAATTCTCCCTGTGTGAACTTGACAGCGAATGAACAAGCGTTTCTTTCATGGTATAGTCATGCTCTTATTCTCGGGAAAGTGACACTGGCATTCCAGCTCTTGAAGGATGGCACAGTGGGTTAATTAAGATAAAAAAATAGATAAGGTAGGTAGGTAGGTAGGTAGGTAGGTAGGTAGGTAGGTAGGTAGGTAGGTAGGTAGGTAGGTAGATGGACCCACATTACCCTCTATTTTCAAACTGCTCTGCTTATATTTACCAGGGGCGAAATGATATTCCCACCCACTAAATGCAGTTTTTAAAAAAGATCTGTAGTGACTCATTCTTGGACTTCTGAAAATAAACCTTGGAAGCATGACAAGAAAAGGGGAAGTGAAACACAGAGAAATGTTTACACAACAAGGAGAGAAAGCAATAACATCCCTGCCTGGGGAATAATCATCTCAAACAAAAAAAGGGAGGCAGGGGTTCTGATAAAGGAAAAAGGTCCAGTCAAAATGGTTGAGAAGGAACGAAGGGGAAGGGGATTCCAACGCTGGTCAGAGAGACCATTTCTGGTTTGTGTGTTTTTGTGTGTTTTATAAAGGAACACTCTTTTGATTATGAAGATATTTTATAGAGGGACATGCGTAGGAAAGCTATTTATTTATTTACTTGCTTACTTACTTACTTATTGCAAAAAGGTGCTCCCTTCCCACCGCCACATCCTCTGAAGGCTCCTTACAGTAACTCTGCCTAATTCATTGTATCAGAAGGGGAACATAACTACCTGTTTCGTGTTACTGCCACTCATTACTTTTCTCTTGTTTCCCTTCAATTTTGGGGGAAACTGGCTGGATGACTGGGTGGCTGTGAATGGGATCACTATCTAAGGGAGGCGGTTCCTCATCTAAGGCGGAAAGGAGGAGAGGGGTCATCTTTTTTACTTTAACAACTTCAGGTTTATTAACAGTCAACGGATCAACATTAGTGGAAAACGGGTCTAGAAAGCTTAACTTGAGCCTTGCCCAGTCACCTTCTAGCGGCGAAGTGTTATGCCTTGCATCTGGCCGAATCACTCGTCGTCATCTGCCCTGATTCCTAGGAAACACGACCACTGACCACTCCAGAGGTTCAATGTTCACTTCCTCTTTCTGTCTTGGGAAGGGATGACGGAGCAGTCCTCCCACTCTCAAGTGGGGAAAATCCCTTAACAATTCTTGCGTCTTGACCCTCTCATATTCACGCAACCTCTCCAGCTCTCTCTTCCTTTTCCACAACTCAGCCTTCGCCGGCCGGTACTTATATCTTCCTGCCGAACTGGCAGCTCTTGTTCTACACCTATCACCATTGGTCACCCTGTACAATGACTTGTTGAGGGAGGCCGACAGGGGTAAAATATCTCTGTTGGTCCTCCTCAACATCTCGGCGGCCTTCGATACCGTTGACCATGGTATCCTCCTGGGGAGGCTCTCTGAGTTGGGTATTGGTGGCTTGGCTCTGGCTCTGGCTCTGTTCCGTTCCTTCTTGGAGGACCGCCCCCAGAGAGTGCAGCTTGGGGAGAGTATTTCGGCCCCGTGGAGTCTCAATTGTGGGGTTCCACAGGGGTCGATCATCTCTCCAATGCTGTTTAACATCTATATGAGGCTGCTGGGTGGGGTCATCAGGGGGTGTGGAACATTGTGTCATCAATATGCTGATGACACCCAGCTCTACATTTCCTTTTCACCAACTGCAGGTGATGCCGTCCTGTCCCTCCAGCGCTGCTGGGAAACATCCTCATGTTTGAGGTGGTGGCCCTGGCCGCAAAGAGTGGGGTCTGCAGCCTGGGGGTACACCTGGACCCGATGCTCACCATGGAAACGCAGGTGGCGTCGGTAGTCCGCACCGTCTTTTTCCACCTTTGGCGGATTGCCCGGCTGCGACCTTACCTAGACACCGGGG